AAGGAAATCATCTTCTATCTACAAACACTACCACCTCCAGCACAATAGTGAAATGCCTGAACGCTTGATCGAGCAATTCAACGTCATCACGAAATGTAACGGCAAATTTGATTGCCTTGTTAATGAAATGTTGTATATTCGCATGCGTAAGCCAACACTGAACGTGCAAACGGATTCCATCCGCGCCAAGGTGTTTGTTTAAGCCGTTCAGTCTAATTTATGCTATTCTTGTACCTTTCCTTATTTGCATGTTTTTAAACTAGTCTCTTGATAATGGAGTCACGATGACCCCGAAACGTCGAGTAATAAATATTTAAGTATCCTAAATTATTTTAATTCATCCATCCAATTGCGTTTCTATCGGACTATTTCTAGGTAGTAATTATCTGTACCGTTATCTGCAGGATGGTAATTAATTTCCGCAGAATGTGCAAATATTTAAGCAAGAAATTTACATTCGAAAACTCCCCTAAAATAAAGGAGAGTAAATTTTCTCAGTTAAGACGCAAGTTCTCAGTTTTGATGAGTAAAGTGGACGGAATCGTTAAAGAAATCCATGAATGATCCAGATCAATAAACAAGTAACTTTGACAAAGAACCTGTATTGCAGGAGAGCTTTGTTGTATGACACCTTGTTCTTCAGCCGATTAAATTACTAGACACTGAAAAGCTACATAATTATCATAACGCTCGACTGTAGTTTTTTCTTTTTTTGAGAAAAAGTTGACTGAAATTGAGCAAATATCTGACTTTACCAACACAATAACCACTACGTATGATGCACGATCCTTCGCAATAGATAGTGCTATTTATGCAATAGCGAAAATCAGACCTGAAAAAAATTCAGGCCTGTACGGGATTCGAACCACTGACCTCTGCGATACTAGTGCAGCGCTCTACCAATTGAGCTAACAAGCCAACTGGGAGCAGGCCGTTAAGTTGTAGCAGACAAAAACAAGAAGAGCGGAATCCAAAAAGAGTAAACTTCCTCATTACGACAGTACAAAAAATTAACAGATGAATAAAGAGGTGGACAGATAGGTAGAAAATATTGCAACAGACAAACTTGGTTAACGAGCTTGATAACAAAGAATCAGTGTAAGAAATAAAAATACAGAAGATCTTTCGCAATTCGCTTCGTAGGAGATGCACAAAAACTTACTCAAACAAACCATCCGCCCACTGATCATCCATTCACCCAGAGTTTCTTGGTTAGGCCGTTAAAAGAAGTTTAAAAAGGTGTTGAGTAATCTTTAAAACGAATTTCTTTTGTGGAGACAAATAACAGGTACGAGCGCTAAACGGGTAACTATAATTAAGAGCACCACTTCTCCCCCACTATTCCCACTCAGAAATGAGTTACGGTAAGAACTAACCTTGGGATGAGAAAGAAGCAGTTATCATAAAACCCCAAAGTAACAGAACAGAGATAAAAATCGAATTCTTCATGTCGCAGGTCGCTCTCTGAGACCGACTTCATGAAATATGTGAAATTTGACTCCAGAATTCCAATTTAATTTTTTCCTAAAGTAAACACTTCCTGACTTTCTTTTGACCAATGAGACCTGGATGTTACCTTATCATCCTTTTAATCTGATATCTTTAGTAATTCTACCGGCAGGCATTCATTTCATTGGGAGAAAACAGATTATTTATCTTACTTCACTAGTTTCTTGATGATTAATCGTACTGACATAACAGCGGTTAAAGTTTGAAAATCAGTTAACTTATTCTCAGAAAGAAACTAAATCGAAAATGTAAATGCTTCTTGTGCTTTACTTGGCTTTCATTGATAGGATAAGGAGAAAGTGATTTTGTCCCTATTGGGCCCAAAATCGTCCTCTGCTCTGAAATAGATTACTAAAACTAGACTAGCATGGCCAAAAAAGTCTTAGAAATTCAAAATAAATTTAAGGAAAGAAAACAAACTGGCAAATTAATTGAGATGAAAATAAATGACGTGATAATGATGATAGTATCAATAATAATGGAAATAGATAGGTTTAGTCATGAGCTTTTGTAATTATCGACAGTTTATATGTCTGAATATTTAAGTGTCTTAAATTTCTCAATTCGTCCACCATTTGCAGTCCTATTCAGACTATTTAAAAGCACCTCAGGCATTTGTGTTCCATTTAATTTCTCGGTGGCAATTATCCGTGCTGTCATCTGCAGGAAACTTGCTGATGGAAATTGATGTCCACGGAAAATACAAATTTTTAAGTAATAGATTTACAATCACAAATTCTCCAAAAGAAGAGCGTGGTAAATTTTCAAAACGCAAGTTCTTAGTTTTATTTAGTGAAGCGGACTGAATATTTGTAAAAACTCGTAAATGAACCAACTCGATAGCAAAGAGTAATTTAGGGGAAAAAAACAAAAAAACAAGACAAACCAAAGACAAGAAATGAAAACCATTCGTAATGAAATTCATATGAATGTACCTTTACAAACTATCAGCCTAACTATGTTTCCATTACTAGTAATTTGCTTGGTTAAGAAGTTGAAAGAATTCACGGTTAAGCTATCGCTATCACTAGCTATCGCTAGACAGTTCTCTCTTGTAGAGAGAGAGAGAGAGAGAGAGAGAGAGAGAGAGAAAAAAAAACAAATCCTTTAAACGAATAATAACGAATAGGTGTTAAAAGTTAACTGTGATTAAGAAAGACTACTGTCCCTTCTTTATCCCTGCTCAAAAATGAGTAATGGTAAAGCTAACCTCGCGATGAGACAGAAGCAAACATCATGAAGCACCAAAGTATCAAAACAAAGATAAATATCGACTTATTCATCGCGCAGATCGGCAGATGTCTACGACTGACTTTCCGAAGTATGTGCAAATTGATGCAACAACCTTATTTTGAAGTTTTTCTTATGGTAAAAACTTCCTGATTTTCTCTAAACCAATGAGAGCTGGGTGTTACCTGATAGTTTTTTGTTTTAATTTGATATGTTTAGCCTTTGTGCCAGCACGAAAAAAACTAATTGGTTGAAATATATAAATCATTTTTACTAAGCCTCTCGACAAGTCTATTAAGAGTTAATCGTACTAACATAACAGCGGTTAAAGTCTGAAATCACTAATTCTTAGAAAGATACTAAATGGAAAATGTAATCGCTTCTTCTGTATTACTGGGCTCTCATTGATAAGGAAAGTGAGTTTGCCCCTACTGGGCCCGAAAATCGTCCTCTGCTCTGAGATAGACTGCTAAAAACTAGACTACCTGCCTCATTTTACGACAACTAGTTATGAATATTTTAAAAACTTTTGTCATCACTTTATAGCTCTACATCATATAGCAAACTAGCTTGACAAAAAATTACGATAACATGAGGTTAGCGTGATCATATCATCCATTCACCCAGCGTTTCTTAGTTAAGCAGTTGAAAAAAGTGTTAAGCTCTTTAAAAGAATTGCTATTTTCAAAAAAAGAAACAACAACTTTGAGTTTAAATTTACAAGACATGTTTCGACTTTCTCATGTCATCTTCAGTTGCAAATGAGCTTTTAACGGTTGTACATTTGATCCGCGATGACGTCAAAACAGTTTCTCGCAGCGTCAAACCGAGGCTTGGTGGTGATCGCTTCGCGCGTTTTGTTGGTATTTAGTGAAATAATCAATTCCCCTCGTCTGTTTTTTTCACTCTTTGTTCGAAATGCCTCAATGGTGTAATGCCTAGGGTTGTACAACCTATTCAGACATAAAAATCAAAAAATCGTGGGATCGCTTACCGCAGGAGAACAAAGAACTGCTTTCGAAATGGCTTGCAAAAATTCGGCGAACAAACACGCCAGTTAATGAGCACTCGAGGCTATGTGGCGACCACTTTGAAGCCGACTGTTTTAGGAAAATCCCGG